AATGTCCGTGGTCTTTTACAACCGGGCAAACAAGCTATTCTGGAGAAGGAACTGGAACGAACCAATATCTCTGTGGCCGGGCTCTCTGAACTTCACTTCCGCAACGAGGGGCACTACATAACTAATTTGGGACATTTCATGTGCTTTTCCGGCAACACTAACAAAAGTATCAATGGTGTTGGCTTCTGGTTTCAAAATCTCTTTCTCCCTATATACTGGGATATCAAGCTATCAGTGATCGTATAATTTCCTTAAAACTAAATGGATCTCCCTCTATTGTACATTTGATTCAGGTCTATGCGCCTACCTCAACTGCTGATGATAATACAACTGAATCTTTTTTCAACGAGCTGGAATCATATCTGCCAAAATATCCCAAATAAAGAAATCGCTATCATCATGGGTGATTTAAACTCAAAAATCGGTGTATACTATGGCTGACGAACATATACGAAATATTGTGGGTAGATATGGAATAGGTGAACGCAATTCAAGGGGAGACCGCCTTATCCAGTTCTGCGTTGACAATGACTTGACAATAATGAACTCTATGTATAGGCACCACCCCAGAAGATTGTACACTTGGATCTCACCTAACGGACGACACCGAAATCAGATCGATTACATAATGATTAAACATCGCTGGAAAACATCTATTAGCCAATGTAAAACACGACCTAGCGCTGAACTGCGGCTTCTGACCACCAACTTCTTGTTGCAACGCTAAAGCAAAAATTCAAGGCATGTGCTAGGATCCGAAACAAGAGGATATCAAAAATAAAAGATACACAACAATTTAAAATCCAATGTAATGAAAGATTCGAAAATATTTTACCAACTATCGTCACTCATGATTCCGAAAAGATTTGGTTATCTTTTAAAAATACCTTGATACAGACCTTGACTGACTGCGAGGCACAGTCTAATGCCGTCTCAACCGGACCAAAAAAAATGTGGATGTCTGCAGATACTTTTGAGCCTCGTTGAAGAACGTAGAAAACTTAAAAATTGCTGGAAATCGAGAACCCTCTCAGAAATTCCCAGTAACCGCAGCTATCTAGAGCTATTCAGGCTGCTTGTAGACGAGACAAAAACAAGCATATAGAGAAAATCTGCAGAGAAATTCAACTACACGCCGACACAAATAACACCAAAGAACTCTTTGATAAAGTCAGACAACTCACACGTAAATTCAATGCAGAAATCTTGGTCTATCAAAGATGATGAAGGTAATGTACAGACGGATTTGGACAAGGTTATTGATGTTTGGAGGGCGTATTGTAAGTCTTTATACGCCAATACGGACCAGATGCCAGCGGACGCCCCGTTTGTACCTGACTGCCAGACCTCCACTTTCCATTCTCCTTCAACAGAGACACACCACACTAGTTTTGAGTCTGAACCTGACATACTTTTATTCCGAGGTGGAATTCGCTTTAAAAAGACTTAAGTTAAACAAAGCAGCAGGATATGATCTCATTACTGCAGACGTCTTGAAGCATCTTCCGGAATGTGGAGTGAAAATATATACATCGATTGTGCAATGAAATATGGCACACAGGCGTCTGGCCTGAGGATTGGAGAAAGACCATAAATCATACCTCTTCATAAGAAAGGTTCAACAAATAATTGTAACAACTACAGGCTATTAGCTCTAATATCACACGCCAGTAAGGTGATCCTCTACATATTGCAACGGCGTCTAGAAAACTTCATAAGTTGGCAAATAGCACCTGAGCAGGCTGGATTTGTAAAGGGCAGAGAGGTTACTAGAGAACAAATCCTTAATGTACGAAACATCATAGAAAAAGCCAGAGAATACCAGATCCCGATATTTATATGTTTCGTCGATTATACAAAGGCCTTTGATATGTTAGATGGGACAAAAATGGAACATATTGACGACAATGAGGGTGTACCTAAACACTTGACTCACCTTATTAGCAAACTGTATCAAGATAAACCTGGCATATATTCGAATGGACGGATATCTGTCTGACAAATGCACTTTGGAGAAGGGAGTACGCCAAGGATTGCGTTTTATCTCCCTTATTATTTAACATCTATTCGGAGTTCATAATGCGCAGAGTTTGGATGGTTGGGAGGGAGGAGTAAACCTAGGTGGTGTTTAAGATATCTAACTTGCGTTTCGCAGACGACACTAACACTTCTAGCTTCTACTCCAGAAGAAATTAACTAAATTATTAAAAAAACTCGAGGTAGAAAGTGCTAAATTTGGACTCATGGTTAACTACAACAAAACCAAAATCATGGTTATTGATCGCCAACAACAGTTTTCCTGAAACCCAAACTATTGCGGGATGCGAGGTAGTCTCATCTATGATATATCTTGGAGCTCTAGTAAACAACACAGGCAGTTGTGAATCCGAAATTAGAAGACGCATTCAACTAGCAAGAGCAGCAATGAGTGAACTAAACGGGGTCTGGCGTGATCGTCACATTACTATGACAAACAAAAAGAGACTCGTTTCAACTCTGGTCTTTTCCATATTTTACTATGCATGCGAGACATGGACGGTCAAAGAATCAGATCGACGACGTATAGACGCCTTTGAAATGTGGACATGGAGACGCCTGCTTCGAATTCCATGGACGGCTCGCCGTACAAATATCTCGGTTCTGGATGAAATTAAACCGGATCAGCGTCTCTCTAGTACCGTTTACTCTAGGATTTTAAAGTTCTTTGGTCATATCCATCGAAGTGATCACAAAATGGAGCGGTTGGTGGTCCAAGGAAGGCCTCAGACTCAACGCCAACGCGGAAGATCTCCACAGCGATGGCGGACATTACTAAAAAAGCTTCTCAATAAACAGTATACTGAGGCAATACATATAACTGATGACCGCGACCAGTGGAGAAAAATTATTATCAATCAAACTGTCCGAGCTGCTGAAGCTCAATTATGAACCACAACACATCTACTAAGATGTTAATAGACTGTGATGATGATGATGATATATATATAATAATATATATATATATATATATATATATATATATATATATATATGAATAAGGATCACTCAGATGATGTGGTGGGTTCAATCGGTCAACTAGGTGGAGAAATAAAAGACAAAGTTAATACTAACTTCATCTATTTTGAAGACGTTTCGCTATCGAATTCTGATAGCATCATCAGTTCATCTAAAAATTTATTTACATTAGAGTACCACACATTCATGAAGAAGATGTTAAATAGTTACCTTAAAAAAAGATATGTAGTTGTCAATGGTATTAAAAAGTCAGTACAAAAACTCAAATAAATGGACATCGTATGGTGATATTGTATAAACAATTAAATAATAACAACATTAAGAGACTTAGTAAAAATTAGCAAAGCAACAGAACACCTGGTGTAATAAGCATATAATATTTAAATATAATATTAACTAGTGAAGCAGAACTAAGAAAATTATTGATTCACTTCCAACTAAGCAAAAAAATTTTTTATTTTAAGTTAAGTTAAGTTACCACTGTTTGCTTGGCACCTGTTGCAGTTGAAATGGCGTTAAATATAAAAGGGTACCGAGTCAATGACATGAAAACAGACAGCCAGCCTTGAGGTCGAAAATTGCCCTATTTCTTGGGATATTTTTGCAGAACTTTTGCAACTAGTCTTTGGTCAACTTCTTAGTTTTTTGAGGACAAATTTTACCTTCCAAATATTTGGCACACCTATGGGTTCCTCAATCTCACCCATCCTAGTTAACTATGTACTAGATGATTTGGTTTCTGACCGTTTTAGGTCGCTTAGAATTTCCAATCCCTTTTATTAAGCGGTATGTGGATGATTTATTATTAGCCCTACCACCTGACAAGGTTCAGGGTACCTTATCCTTCTTCAATGAATTTGATCCTCACTTACAGTTCACTGTTGAACTTGAGGACACTGTCACAAATAGTATCCCCTTTTTAGACATGCGTGTCATCAGAATGGGAGATTAACACCCTGACCACAAGTTGGTATAGAAAACCAATGGCCTCCAATAGTTTCCTTATTCAATAGAGTGATCCTTATTCATATTGGATAGACGGTTCGTACTCCTTTTTTGCGATATATATATATATATATATCTATTATATATATATATATTATATATATATATATATATATTATATATATATATTATAATTTATTGTGTATGGAATATCGGGTATGCGGTCTGTTATTATTAAAAAAAACTCTTTTTTCTTTTTAATTCTCTATATTTCGCTGATTTTTTGTCAGCTTCATCAGGAGACAACTAAAAATTTTGAATAAAAGTTATATAAATCAGTTTAAATAAAAAGTGACTCACTTACAGATTTAGAGTAAAAAAGTATTTAAACAAGTTGTTGAACATAATATTGTTTCAAAACAGTACTGACAGTTTTTGTTAGAAAAGTACCTAGGTCCACTAGTAATTAAATATAAATAGATATAAAAACAGAGCAAACAAAAACAACGAAGCAATTAAAACACAATAAAATTTACACATTAATTGCTTCGTTGTTTTTTGTTTTGCTCTGTTTTTATATTTTTACATTTAATTACTAGTGACCTAGGTACTTTTAACAAAAACTGTCAGTACTGTTATGAACAAATTATGTTCAACAACTTGTTTAAATACTTTTTACTCTAAATCTGTAAGTGAGTCACTTTTTATTTAAACTGATTTATATAACTTTTATTCAAAATTTTAGTTGTCTCCTGATGAAGCTGACAAAAAATCAGCGAAATATAGAGAATTAAAAGAAAAAAGAGTTTTTTTTTAATAATAACAGACCGCATACCCGATATTCCAACACAATAAATTGTTTTTTTTAACGTTTCGGTTCGATAATCTTACCAGTTTTGCTATATATATATATATATAATATATATATATATATATCTATATATATATACTATATAGACGATACATTTGTTATAATCAGTACCTTATTTGTTATAATTAAAAAAGCTATTGTGTACTATAGTATAATAACTATTTTTTAGCTGAAACCTATTCCCTGAGTACTTTAAGCAAAATAGTGTACGGGTACATGAGTGGCCATTTGTTGGAGTTCTCAAACAGCTCAGAGTTTTACAGACTGACGCCGCAACAGTTAGAAAATTTGCTTGCCTTTGATTACCCAGTAGACTGTTCCGAAGCCGATGTACTTAGGATAGTTTTGACGTGGTTTTTTCACGTAGATACCAATGAGTGAGTTATTTAATGATTACTAATTGAGTGTAATTGAGTACTACTGACTGAGTTATTTAATGATTATTACACTTCGATTTCACTATAGTGTATTTTTATGTATGAGAGAGTAATAAAACAATAAATTATGTATGCAAATCCCTAAACTGTTGATACCGGGTGACTCAATGAAAAACAGATATTTGTCAACAAGTTTACAGAAGTATATAGGAAAACAATTTTAAATTGAGTATGACCACCAGGTATAAAGGTTGGAGCAGAATAGAATACAATAGTTGTGAGGGTTACTAATCCCTAAATAAGGTTGCCAGTGTCGGAGTGATGGAGGTTAACAGGTACTAATGAATTTGCAAGAAATGTAAGATGTTTATTTTATTGGTTATATATAACCAATAAAAGTTTAATAAGTACCTACCTATTTGCAAAATAAAGTTTAATTCTTTAGATAAAATAAAACGTTTTATTTTATCTGAAATGAGTGCATTCCACGAAGTAAGGGTTTCAACAATCAAACATTTAATTCTTTAATTCCAGGAATCTACGACAGTAATTGACTAGATAATTACCTTCTAAACTTATTCCACAGAAAATGTGATAGTGGGTTTTTCCATTTTGTAGGAAGGTCCAAGTGGCGTATTCAAAATTCTTAACAGTTCACTAAAAGTAGGTACTTCAGTTGCAAGGTGCAGTTTATTGTGTATACTAGTGTTATGGAAAATTTGGAAGTGCCGTGTAAACGCCGAAAAATTGGTCCTTTAACAGTTAATGAAAAAACATTAATATTTAATTGTTTTAAATCATTTACAGACAAACGTTTATGTGAAAGTGTTGATGAGACCGTTGAGTTAGTTAGCAGTACACTTGGTGTTGGGAAATCTACGATTTACAGAGTTATTAAAGAAGAGAAATGTGGTAGTTTTCAAATGCCACGTAATGCTCCAGGGAAACCAAAATTTCAAATAGAATATCATTTTAAAGAAGGACTTCGACGGAAAGTGCATGAATTCTTCTTTAGACAAGAATTTCCAACATTGGATAAAGTTCTTGTCTCAGTTCGAGATGATAAGGATTACCCAGAAATGAGTCGAAGTACGTTATGGAAACTTTTAAAAGAAATAGGCTTCCGCTGGAAAAAGAATCCCAGAAAGTCTATTTTATTAGAAAGAAGCGATATTGTCATATGGAGAAGACATTTTCTAAGAACCATAAAGGAAATGAGAAACCAAAAAAGAAAAATATTTTATCTTGATGAAACATGGATCAACGAGGGTCATACACCAAATAAATTTTGGCAGGATGAAACTGTTACAAGTCAAAGGCACGCTTTTGTAAATAACTTATCTACTGGTTTAAACCCACCATCAGGAAAGGGACGCAGGCTGATAATAGTACACATTGGCAGTTCAGACGGTTTTGTTGAAGGTGGTTTATTAACTTTTGAATCAACTCGTACCGGTGACTACCATGAAGACATGAACGCTGATGTCTTTCAAGAATGGTTCGAACAAATGATAGATCTTCTTCCTAAGAACTGTGTAATAGTAATGGATAATGCAAGTTATCACTCCAGACTTATAGAAGGACTGCCCACAACCAAGTGGTTAAAAAAAGACTTGCAGAATTGGCTGAGTTCAAAAAATATTACGTACCATCCCGGATCTATAAGAAAGGAACTTTATTCGTTGTGTGCCCTTCATAAAGAAAAATTTAAAAAATACGAAATTGATGAAATTGCCAAAAATCGTGGAATGACAGTACTTAGATCCCCACCATATCATTGTGAATTAAACCCGATTGAACTGGTATGGGCACAGATAAAGAGTGAAGTTTCAAGAAAAAATACCACTTTTAAAATTCATGATGTTAAACAGTTGTTTTTGGAGGCCGTAAATAATGTAAAACCTGAAAACTGGGAAAAGGCAGTAAATCACACTATTAAAGAAGAGGAAAAAAATGTGGAAGCTGGACAATATTACTGATAAAATGATCGAGCCAGTTATTATAAATCTTGGTTCTGAAAGTTCATCTTCTGAATCTGATTTGGATTTGTAACAAGTAGCTGTAAGTTTTATATTAATATTTTTATTCATCTATTTAACATACCTTAGACGGTTTTAAAAACTCTTTTTCTCTTTTGTAATTTTTAAAAATTAAAAAAAATGTGAATTTTTTAAAACCTTTTTTAATGTAGGCCAGTCAGTTCTAATATAGTGTGTGATAAAAGAGGTCACTTTTGTTTACATACACATAACACTTTATAACACTGAAATAATTCATTTATTTTTTACAATTATTCAAAGTAATTTTTCAATTAATCTTGAGCACGCCCATGGAGTGGTCGGAGGTACCAGTTAAAATTATGCTAATTACTCTCTCGTTCATAAAAATAAACTATAGAGTATGGCAACCGTTGATATATTCATTAAGTTAAATTTTTACCATCGGGCATCTTCAAACATATCAACCTCACTAGTAGTTACCAAGTATATAAGTAAAAAAACACGTTAAATATATTGTTCGGAATAAACTAGGAATTAAAAAAATATTCATTTAACGGTTATTGATCGGTGCGGTGGATCACGCAGAGGTATAAACAAATAAAAACGACAGAAATGGAATGTAGCGACAGAAACGTAATGAAACGATAGATCGCGCGGCCACACACTACGTGGGCATTGATTATAAACCACTACCTAGATAGCTCACCCTCGTGGAACCGAAAGACCGTATCAAAAACTAAATGGCGTTACTCGAAAACCGTATCGAGATTCTCATTATCTCTCTGACTTGCGAGGAGATAGGAGTGGTTGTCAGGGCCGAACTTACCCTATAAGTGTATTATTTGTGTGAAGTGTTGTGACAAGTTATAGCGAAATTTTATAAAAAAAAAGGACTCACATTTTAGATAAAGTGGTCTGTGTAACGCATAAATGTGTTTAACGCGGGATGTTTTGAAAGAAACGATGGAACAAATAATAATATATCTCTCTTTAAATTTCCCCTGAAAGACGTAGAGCGCACAAAAATTTGGCAAAAAAACTGCGGGAATATTGATATTATATTGATGGATATCAGTGACCTAAAACAGGGTTAATTTGCTAGCATCATTTTGCAGTGGAACATTTTTATAGCACTTTTATATAAATATGTTCGTTTCCTCAGAAAATTCTTCTCGACTTTTAATAATAAAATGTTTCGATATTGTCAATAATGAGAGTACTTCTTGAGAACAAGAAATAATAAATATTTTTTTTCCTAAAAATTTTTATTTTACAATCTTATTTTGAAAAGAATTAACATTCAAATATACTTATTTACTTTGTTTTGAAATATGATCTAATTAGTGATGTTTTAAAACTTTCTAATCCTGTCCGTTTATCAGCTTTTATCTATTGTTCCTAGACAGATGGCCCTCATCTATTTATGTATTGGAAATTCCCTGTCATTTTATCAAGATATGTACTTGTTTGTAATTTGTGGTATTTTGTTAAAGTCAAAATCGATTGCATTTGGTACTCACCACTACTTGCTTTTAAAAAAAAAGTCCTCAGAAAATTTTTAAATGTAAAAAGTATGCGATTCGAACAGTAGATCATAGTAATTTTAGTTCACCTTTATACAAATGTTACTATTAGAACAAAATTTCTATCTTATTCTTGTCGAAGTTCCTTCTCCTATCGAAGGTTGGCCATCACCACAGCTATCCGTACTTTATTGGTGGCTGCTCTGAAAGGAATCTATTGAGCTGCAACTATACCACTCTCTTAAGTTTCTCAGCCATGAAATTCTTTTTTCTACCTATGGATCTTTTACACTTAATTTTACATTGCATTTTAAGCTTTTCGCACCTTCGGTAATGTGACCTAAATATTCCAGCTTTCTTGTGTTGATGTTCTTTATCACCTTGCAATCCTTTTGTAACATTGTAACCTTAAACACTTTGCATTTGTAACTCGTTAGATCCAGTATTTTCAAAATTCCCTCTATAGCACCACATCTCAAATGCTTCCAACTTCTGTATATTGTCTACTTTTAGCGTATATCTTTCCATTCCATGTATCAAAGTCGGGAACACGTAGCATCTTAATGCGCTTATCCTCAGCTCCAGAGGAAGATCCCGATTTTGTTCTAAAGCTATTTTCTTGTGGCATTGTTGCAATTAACTAGTTTTGATGGGAAATAAGCCACAATTTTACTAAAAAAAAAAAACGATTTTATTAACGTTTCGACGCCCAAATCGGGTGTCGTTGTCAAAATACAAAAATTATTAATGAGTTAAACAAAAATGATGCTGCTTAGTAAAAAAAATTCTTATAATAATTTATTTAATCTGACTCATTTATATCGGCAATTCAGACATATATTATACATTTTAAAGTAGATAATGAAATATTGGCAATGCCATTGCCAATATTTACAAGTTGCGTTCCTGGGACGACTTTGTTGAAAGATAGTTAATTCAATTACATTAAATCTACCCCAACTCAAGAATATCCGTCACAAAAAAATCATAACATGTATGCAATGGTGACAGTAAAATTCTCGCGCTAGAATATAATATAGTCCCAGGAACGCAACTCATAAATATTGGCAATATCATTTTAAAGTCTTCCACTTTAAAATGTATAATATATGTCTGAATTGCTAGTATAAATGAATTAGATTAAATAAATTATTAGAAGCATTTTTTTTACTAAGCGACAACAGTTTTGTTTAATTCATTAATAATTTTTGTAATTTGACAACGACACCCGATGTGGGCTTCGAAACGTAATAAAAACCATTTTTTAGTAAAATTGTGGCTTATAACCCATCAAAACTAGATAAGATCTCGATTAACAAACATTTTTTCATTTTTATAAATGCTTGTCTTTCAATTTCAATGCGTGTTCTGATTTCTCTAATAAATACCTTGGTCATTGTTTTAATTTTATTATATAATGATCTGTAAGTTTCATTTGTTTAAAGGACTTATTTTTTAACAATTTTCTTTTAATTTT